TTAAATATTAAATTTTATGCATTCATTAGAATATTTATTGAATATGTAAAAATAACAATATTAAATTATTAGATATTAACATAAATAAAATGATTTTCATAAAAATCACTATATTTTTTTAACAAATAAATAATGAGAACAGTGATATGGTTTTAAATTTTTGCAAATATTTTTAATATCTGGCAAATAATTCTGTTTTTGAGACAGTCTTGGGTCTTCAGACCACATTTTAAGAAATACTGACATAGATTACAATGTGAATATAGGGAATGGGAAAAATTAACCACATTTATATAGTTCTATAAAATGACATGTACATATGTAGCTTGTAAGAGATTTCTAGAAGAGTGATTTAAAAATTAAGAGAGACTCTACTAAATTGTGTTTGCATAAATGTAATCCTTTCAAATTAATTAAAGGTGTAAGAAAACTGTGGGATGAAATGGCATTTAGTAGTTTAAATATACATTCCCATATGTGCAATATACTTATACTATTTTCCAGTGAAGGCTAGAACCCTAATATAGAATTCTAATCATGTGAGTAGAAGTACCAATCAAAATTTTCAATATAAAATCTTCCTGAATGGTCTAAATCATACTCATAGGTTTAGATAATATTCTTAAACAAACTAACATCTTCCCATCTTATTGTCTACTGTTAAAGCTACTGAATGTTATTGAAATGGAAGCTCTTAAGTGGGGAGTACTTGTAGTGGAGCACTTGGATGGTGTGGGTAGTTTTATGATAGATTTGTGTTTCTAATTTGCTGTCAATGCCTCTGTGATGAGCTATCAGGAAAGGTAGTGTGCTATTGTTTTCTTCTATCCTATAGAATTTTATTTCTTTGAAGATGCTGCTGATGGTTTTGTATGTGTTTTCTAGTTGGTCTTTTTTATTATGACAAAGGTGTCATCTATGTACCCGATCCATACTTTGAGTTGTATGCATAGGAATGCTACAGTTTCTGGGCATTGCATTACAGTCTCTGAAACAACCAAGTTCAGAGGGTATCACGGACCCCACTGTTCAACTATTCTCTTCTATCAGTATGAAAGAAATTCTTTGACAACTCATTGAAATGTAGATCCTTGTCAGCCTGATGTGAGCCGTTCTCCCCCCTCCCAGGGAAGGATGATAATTGCAGAAATTAATTTTTTCTAACATCCATTTTGGCATAAACTCTCTGGGAATGAAACATCCAAATTTACTTCCAGCAGAATCTGTTATGGAATTCATTTTAAATCCTTAGGCTTGGGCAAGTCAGTACTTTACAAGCAAATTCTATTGTTGCAAGCTCATTATGAACATATTTAGACTAGGGCAAAAGACCTGCTGGACCTTGGGGATTAAAGATAACAGTTGTATTTGTCAGGGTCAGAATGCTTTAGGACTCTGTTAGGTGGGCTACACAAAATCTTTTTTCAATAGCTCTACAACCTTCTCTTCATAACATTCAAAGCAATTCACTTGTAAAGGGTTTGGTTGTTTTTCATTCCTTTTTCTCCTTTTTTTCACTCAATGGATTCAGTCCAATTCTATTCCATTTGGACTTTCCTTGTTCTGCGAAAGTGCCAAAAGCATTTGGCTTGAATAAAAGTAAAAAGTGTACAATGTCTTTTTTCTTTTTTACAGAAACACTGTAAAACTTTTCTGAGTGATCTGTGTGTGTGTGTGTGTGTGTGTGCGCGCACACACACACACACACACACACAGAGAGAGAGAGAGAGAGAGAAAGAGAGAGAGAGAGAGAGAGAGAGAGAGAGAGAGAGAGAGAGAGAGAGAGAGAGAGAGAGACTGCTCTGTGCATTGAACTATTCACACATCATATGGAAATACTTGATTGGTGAAGTGAGTTGGCAGTTTTTCTTTCATTTTATAGAATTGTTAAATTTATGTCCAAATCAGCCGCATTTCGTCAATGTGAAATAACGGTTGACAAGCAGGGGAAATGAATTCTCTTTGTTATTCATTGATCCCATTTCACTTAAAAACAAAGTATGATTTGCTTAATTCATAGAAAGACAACTCCTGATTTTAGTCAGCGCAATGCACATTAATATTTCTCATCAGTATAAGATAATCCTGGATCTTCCTTTCTCTTTTTTTGTAAAGGACAACATCTTAAGTTACAGTATCATTTGTATCCTACCCATCTGCTTAATTACTAAATTACTAAAGATACTTGTCTACTTTAAAAAAAACTGTCAAAAATGTTTGCCATTTTTTTGTTCCTATCAGTAAATGACTTTTTAAGTCTGCGAAGATAAATAAGAAAGTCTCAAGCCACATATGTCTATAAAAGCTAATTTGCTAGGAAATATGTATACATAAGAAAATCATAATATATTTCATTAATTGGATTATCTCTAAATGAAAATAAAATTATGTTAAATGCAATTATTGTTCCAAGTACATTTAATGCTTTAACTTGACCCCATTCCTTTTTGAAATATGCCATTGTAATGCAGTACTGGGCCCCTCAACCTTGGCATATTCTTAATGTGGGAATAGTGAAATTAGATGAATTGGCCACACTGTGTAAATGAGTTATCTTCAGAATTACTATAGAGAATTTAGAAGAATTCTATTTCTTCTGAATTTTTTTTATCTTTATTGAGTTTTTATGTGCAACCCTGAGGATAGAAATTATATAATAATAATAATGATGATAATGATGAGGATGAGGATGATGATGATGAGGATGATGATGATGATGATGATGATGGTGTTGGAAGGGACCTTGGAAGTCTTCTAGTCCAACCCCTGCTCAGGCAGGAAACCCTATACCATTTCAGACAAATGGCTGTCCAGTCTTTTCTTAAAAACTTCCAGTGTTGGAGCATTCACTACTTCTGGAGGCAGGTATTGATTTTTGAAAGTTCCTCTGGGGCCCTTTTGGGCTGAAAAGCACATAACTATACACAATTATGTATTTATATTTCATCTTTATTTCATTATGAAATAAAGCACATATTAGGTTTCCAGATGTCCTTTCATGCAGTTATTAAAAATATCAATACATGCACAGATTCAGCAGGATTATTTCATCATATGCCTCAGTCACATTGGTCCCACTTGCTGTAAGCGCCTGAAAATTCACTGATTTGAAACTGATAAGCTGAGAGAATAACAAAGAGAATTCATTTCCCCTGCTTGTCAACCGTTATTTCATATTGACAAAATGCGGCTGATTTGGACATAAATTTAACAATTCTATAAAATAAGGTTCTGAATGGAGATTCAAATACTCTTTGCCTGTTTTTATTTCCCAGAAAGCATTGGGAGAATCCCAGGTGAAACCCAATATTTCATTTCAAATTCACTTTTTTCCTAGTTTCCATGTTAGCAGTCTATGCAAGATCTAAGCGTGTCTTGAGTAGAAATATTCCACTTTCCTCTTACAACTATCTTATTAATTTTCACTAATTTAACAAAATTGCAGTCTGATCATGGTTTTCTTGATGAATATTTAAAGTTTATGAGGTCTAGATATATCACATAGAAGGAATCTATGGGAAAATGTACAAAGGATGGATGAGGGAGGGATTGAAACTTTGCAGGACTATACCATATATACCAAAGATAATAATGCCTTAACAAGAAATCCAATTGGATTGGGATTTGGGAAAATAATTCAGCACATTAATGAAGTCAGCCCTCAGAATGACTACTTCATCTTTTTTCATGACGATTTGTCTTGCTCAGTGCTTCTGATACTAAAGATATTATTTGGTGAACTTTTTTTTTAAATAAAGTTTTATTAATTTTTGTAATTAAACAACAAATACCAATATGATGCATTTACATATACAAGCAATAAAAAATAATCCAAATCAATACATTTTCGGAGATGCTCGGCGGTCCCCGCCTTCCCTCCACCCTCATTCACTTTCCTGTCCTTCCTCCCTCTGATCCCACAACCTCTCCACCTTCCTCCTTTCCACCTAACTACATCCCCTCTCCCTTCTTAACCGCCTCTTTGAGTGCAGTTTGGGGTGCCAGCCGAGCATCTCCTCTTTTCAATACAGTTATTATTCACCTATAACATATAAATACATCAATTTTTATAATTTTAGTCCCCTAATCCCCTTCCCTTTTGAACTTTTGATCTACTTATTGCAGCATTAGTGGACATTAATGTTACATTACAGGTGCAGTAAAGATTTCTTTTTTAAAAAATAGTGTATAATGATTCTCTTAGCTGCTGTTTTTAAAAGCTTTAAGGGGACATGCTTTCTTTAACCTTAGGAACAATAACATAGCAATTGTCCTTTTCTTAGGATCTCCAATCCTTTCAACAAAACTTGGGAATGGTAATAACAGCAGTGTTGCAGGAGTGGTAATAAGCTACAGATGTAAGAAATAAGCTACAGATAGTACTCAACTTATGACTGCAATTGGGACATGTCTTTCTTAGGTCTTTCCAGTCATAAATTGAGGCAGCCACATGATTGAACCTAATTTTGTAACAGTTTTTGTGACAGTCATTAACTTAATCACCATGGTTATAAAGCAAATCTGCATTAAGCCAATGCTATGTTATAAATGTAAACCCATACTTCTGAATGGATGGTTTTTCTGGAAACCGACAAAAATGTTACAAATTGGTCACATCACATTATTACATCCAATTGTAAAGGCAAGCCAGTTGCCAGGCACCCAAAATAAAAATCCCAAAACCATTTAGGTTTTTTTTTTGGGGGGGGCATTTCCAGTTTAAAAAAAGGTATAACAGAATAACAGCATTGGAAGGGATTTTGGAGGTCTTCTAGTCCAACCTGCTGCTCAAGCAGGAAACCCTATAATATTTCAGACAAATCGTTGTTCATTTTCTTCTTAAAAACCTCCAGTGTTGGAGCATCCACAACTTCTGGAGGCAAGCCATTCCACTGATTAGTTAAAGCACTGGGCTTTAAAAACAAAAGACAATGAGAATGCAGCTTTTAATGTATTTTCTCAGTCATGCCACTAATTTATTTGACACTTTTAGTGTCTAAGATTTTGGACTTACCTGCCATGTCCTTTTAGAAAAGACTGCTCAACATCCACTGAAAGTAAGGCCATGGCTGAGACTGCCTCTGTCTCCTCTCTCTCTTGAGTTTCAGCCAACTTACAGCTAACTGGCATGATATAAGGCTTCACAGACTTCCAGTACTTCCCTAAAGAAAACACACCATAATTTATGGGAAATTTCACTAACACGGTGGTATAAGCCCAAGTAGTTGCTTAAGTTCAACACAGAGAGCTTCTAAGTATATGAGTATGAGTAACTGGGATTCCAAATGACTGCAGTGAAGTTATGTTTCTGAGCCCTCAGTGCCAAGTTGGAAAGTTCTCTCTCTTTCCAAGGTCTGTGTCACAGTCTTCTGAGAAAGTAATAAACTTTTTAAAAAGATCAGCACAGAATTTAATGATCTCTGAGCATCTGAGAAAGAAACACTGCATTTTTTTTTGTAGAATGAGTATTTTCTACACTATTAATATGTTCAAGATCTGGCATTTCTTAGAACTGGAAGATACATTTCTCACAACCTTAAGAAGGAAATGGAGTTGGTGAAAATAAAGAGCAATCCAGAAATGCCTGTGACAGGAGCAGAAACTAGAAAGGCCAGAACAGATCTTTCTAAGAGTTATGCCATCAGAACAATCAGGTGTTAGTTCTGAATGTTCTTTCATCTACAAACATCAGGAGATGTACTAGAACAATAATTTATTTGCCATATGATTATATGCACTGGACTTTTCCCTTTTTCTTTTAATGTCTTTGAATCAGTGTTAATTCCTAATGACCACCTTGATAAGTCCCTGAAGTTTTCTTGGCTAGATTTCAGAAGTGGTTTCCCCTTGCCTCCTTCCTAGAGTTGAGAGACAGGAACTAGCCCAAGGTTACCCTGCTGGCTTTGTGCCTAAAGCAGGATTAGAATTTGTGGTCTCTCAATTTCTAACTCAATGCCTTAACTATTACACCAATCTATCTCTCTTTGCTATGGGGCCATATATTATTGGGAAGCTTTCAAAAGAGATAGGAAAAGAAAGAGTAGTTCATGAACCAGTTTGGTACGGTGATGAAGGAACAGTGGGTAGAAACCAGGAAATGAATTCTAGGTTTCTCTTAGGCATGATTGCCTGCTGGTAGCTTTGGACCAGTCATAGGTCTTTCAGTCCAACCCACCTCACAAGGTTACTGTTATAGGGAAAATAGGAAGGAATATTAGGTGTGCCTTGAGATGATTAAAATATCTCTTAAAAATGCAGGATAAAATAATAATGACAATGATATAATCTTTGGGTTTTTAAAAAAGTTTTAAATTCGTGCCAAAAATAAACATTTTTTTTAAAAAAAGAAACAAACCAGATAAATAAATAGACAAAAATATTATGAATAACATTATGAATAGCACAAAATACCTATTTTTTTCTGGTATCATAATTTTCCTGTGGTGGGCCCTCCAGATGTGCTAGAACGGACACCTCTACAATTCCACAGAACAATTTAGGAAGTTGGGTTCCCAGCACATTGAAGAAGGAACCAATTTAATGAAGTCTGACTTCATTAAAGTCTGCCTTCTAATTGGGAGTGTGGAGTACATGAGCCTGGCTAGGTTTGTATTTCTTCCAAAAATCTGCTACAGGTAAGTTCCAGAATATTCCTGGGAACTTAGAATAGACTTATGGAGTGGACAGCTTTTTCATAGAATACTCAAACAATTTTCAGAATCATTGGAGTAGTGACTTTGACCCTTTTGAGATCCCTAGAGATTAGAACTTGCAATCATATGAAGTAACAAAGAGTCTTGTGTCACTTTGTAGACTAACACATTGAATACAGCTCAAACTTTTGAAAATTCTACTTAACAGAAAGGGATAAGTTAGGAAAACCTAAAGCTGAAATGAAAGTGTGCATTAATTCAAAATTTCAGATTGAACTGGTTGAAATTCCAAAATTTGCTGTAAACATATATGAAAAGCACTTTGATAGTGAACTATTTTTATTTATAATGTTAGGATAAATTAAGAATTTTCAGTATAGTCACCACTGTTGATTTTTTTTCTTGCTACACTATGCCGTATGTCTCTAAATAAGGTTACCTTTAAAATTGTCTTGCATCACTTTAACTGGTGTGGTTGTATCATATCAAACCTTGGTATGATCCTTGGGAAGTTGGGTGTAAAAACTCTTTTGGTTTCTTTTTTCCAAGCCAAAAATAGTGAATTAATCTCAGCAGACATCTAGTTGTAGTACATTTAGTCATGAAGTGGGGTCCTCTATCATTTTCCCAGCCCATGCTTTGTTAGGAGATTGCAAGCAAAGATAACCACGTATATGAAAAGCCTGTACTAGGTTTCCAACCAGGAAAAGGTGAGTTATTTTTGTTAAACTATATTAAAATCCAGCTGTAAATACAATGCGTTGAAACTAAACTGGAAGCAACTTGCTTTTTGCTGCAGCACAGTCTAAATCAAGAGACAGGCTTTCTTTTATCTGTGTACCATATTAGAAGCGGTAAAATAGCTAAGGAGAAGGTAAAACAAAATTTGTTTGATCAACTTATGCAACATGATAGGAAGACAGTTCCTTTGAAAGAAATTACCAGAACTCCTTAAGTTGTTACTAGGATCTATATATAATGGAGGATTTTATGGAGATAAAGTCTGAAATACATTACAAAATTAAGATTCCCAGCTGCAACCCTATACCCACTTAACTTAGATTAAATCCCATCTGAACTCAATAGGGCTTGCTTTTGAGTAATGTATGAAAATGCACTAAAAGCATCAGAAAATTGGCTTTTTTCCAACTTGTAAAATTCTTGACATTCCCCACCTCCTCCTGTATTTAAGGCACTATAATTGTTAGATCTGGGAAAATATCATGTAAAAATACAAAAATTAAAATTGTTATCAAAGGTATACTTAGAGACTACAGTAAAACAAACAAACAAACAAATAAAGTTATAGAGACATTCCCCAATGTTCTCACAGCATATTAAGCAACAATCACTGTTTTCAGGGAACAAAGTATTCAATCCCATTTATTTATAGATTTCAGTGTTCACAAAGTGGGTTGGTGTTTCAAGAAAAAGCAGTTCAAATATATTGCCATAGGACTAATACTCTATTTTACCATAAATGAAATGATAGCCTATGGTTCACTTTTGAGCTTCTGTCAAGGTATTAAAAATTCAAGTAATAGTAGCCCACAGCTAGAATTCTGGCTTTCTATAACTGCATCTTTCAAACTTCATCTGATTCAAAACTCACAAATGTGCCATTAACAACTGGAAAAAATAGAGACACTTTCACTTTTCCTATTCCTTACAATGAAATCAGCACAACACTCAATGTTCTCATGTTTGCTTTGATCATTTTTCTCAGCAAATAGAATGAAAATGTATTGTAACACTCACAAAATTGTGTTCAGTTCTTTTTGTTAACAAAAATGTAAACTATCCCAAATATTTCCCTGTCAGTTGTGGAAATAAGATTTTGTTTTTTGTTATTCCTTTTTCTTTGTCTTTGCAAAATGGCTGTGTTTTGCTTGTTTGGAGGCAATGCAATTTTCTTGCTGAAGTGGTAGGATTGCCTTTGTGTTACTCAGAAATCTTGTTTGGGAAGTTTAGTTCTGGAAGAATCTTTTCCATGCAGTTGCAAAAATCCCTTCTGGCTATTGGTACTATCAGACAAAGGTTTGAAACACCTTAATTTGAAGTAATGCAAGAGCTTTACTTTGTTTTACAAATGGAAGAGGCCAACAAGCAGCTTTGAAGAGGTGCTTGCATAAACTTTCTTCAAAGAAAAACACCTTTCTGAAGCTTACAAGACTCTGCATGGGATATAACCATCAATAGAGAGCTGATGTGGCAGACTTTGGAAAATCCTACCAGTGGTTAGAAAGACCTGGACTAAAAGACAGCATTGAGTGAGGCACTGATCATAGCAGCACAAAAACAGACACTAAGCAGCAGTTCCATAGAAGTGGGTCTACCTCACTTGACAGGACCCAAGGTGCAGACTCTACAGCACGGGTGTCAAACTCGTCGTGTCACGTGACGTGTAGTGACGTATCATGACTTTTTTTGCCTTGCCGGAGCTGGGATGGGCGCAGCATCCGTATGATGCAACTGGCCAGTGGGCCAGCAGTTTGACACCCTTACTCTACAGAAAGCATCAACACATAGTGACAGGGCATAAGATAACAAGCAGAAACAGCATACACTGAATGACACAACAAATGTTCTTGTACACAATACACAGCTAGACCTTCCTAAATCCAGATGGGGATCCCATAAAAGAATGGAATATAAGGAAACTAAGGTCTGATTAGACTTCCAGATCCTGACAGACAGGTGGGTGCTAGCCAATCTACCAGACATTATGGTAATAAACAAAGACCAAAAGATAGCAATGGTGATAGATGTAGTGGTGCCAACTGACAGCAAATAAGGACAAAAGAATATGAGAATCTAAAAAAATTCCAGGGCTTAAAGGAGAACTTGGAGAGGATATGGAAAATAAAATAGTCCCAGTCATTGTAAGAGTACTTGGGGCTGTGACTCCTAAACTGGGAGAGTGGCTCCAAGAGAGCACAGGAATGACATCAGAACTCTCTGTCCAGAGGAGTGCAGGGCTAGGAACAGTTAACATCTTGCGCAGAAGCCTCAAACTCCCAGATCTCTGGTAGAGGACTCGAGATTGAAGACACATACCATCCATAAGAGGAGAAGCTATTAATAAAGATATTAATATAATTTAGGAATTATCCACGTTCAGCTTTGACAATGCCTATTTTCTGTCCAGCAAATTCCACAAAGATGCACTGGTGGCCCTTGATTTAAAAAAATGGTGTATTCTTGACATAATTCAAACATGGGTATGTAAACCCCAGTATAAAAGTTATCATCACTCTTCTGAACAAACATTTCACACCAGGAGCCCTGATCAACCTGTTTTTATTTTCTAAGAAATTATTTGCATTAAATTGTAATACATATTTATTATATTATATATAATTACTATAAATCATGAATAATACATATATAAATAATAATGACCTTTTCCCCCAGTTACACCAGCAAATGAGAAATTGGAAAGATAAACATCTGCAAATCAGGTCAATATCTGAAAAAAACTGAGTGAAATATGGACAGTGGCAAAACGTGACAATGGCTTTATATTGGATCAATCAAGGAAACATCAGGGCAAATATTGCAGCATAAGAACAGGCACTAAGAACAACTGAATAAAAATGAAAATTCAAAGCATTGAAATAGAAGTTTGTAAAGAGAAAGATGAAACTCTTCCCAAATTCTATCAAAATTATTCAGACAAATTATAAGAAAAGACATAAACACTGACAAAAATGGTACAATGGGATTTATGTAAAAAGTATGGATCTGATGTCATAAAATATTGATGTGACTGCAACACTGAAAAAAAGTTCCAGAATGATCATGTGATTTTTTTTTTTTGATATTTCTGAATTTATATAGACCAACATCTAGGACATAACATTCCATACATCACAATAATTGATCACTACAAGTTTAATTTACGAATGTGCTATAATAACAAAGCATAATAGTGTAGCTCAAAAAGAACTGAAAAACATTGGGATTTAACAATGAAATACAGAGTGTATAGAGAAAATCTTCATCATTTAACACCATAGCTAATAGTAGAGTCACAGGAGCTAAAATAGAAGAGTTATCAAAATGGCTGAAAACATTAGCATTATTCACCTGCACAACATTCATTTCACAAAAACTATATTTAGAATTGTACACATATTATGGCAATACTTGGAATATTTTGGAAAACCACATACTATAAGAGCAGTATGTATTTTTAGAGAACAAAAAATTGTGAGCATCCATATATCTAGAAAAATAAAAAAGTAAATTGGAAGGGGATAGAAAATATATTCTGGCATTGCAATCAATGCTAAGGAGCAATCACTATTAAGTGCATTCTTATCTGCCTCAATTTAGCTTCAAAATTCAAAGTTCCCACCAGCTCTAAAGATTATGGGCTCTAAAGTGAGCCCTATAATGCATCTAGGTATGTCAGGTTCTTCAATATATTTTCAATTGCAATCAATTCTTCATCCATATCTTTCAATAGGAATAGTTGCCCAGGTATGGAAAGTTTATGAGTGAGCTGCCAATAGACAACAACAACAACAACAACAAAAAGGTATCTGGAAACTTCTATTAATGGAGGGAGAAAGAAGAATCCACTAGATGACTATATGGTGCTATTATGCTATGACTAGTAAGAAAAAATGGATTGTTTACATATCCTAAAAAACTATACAGTTAATAAAGATAATATTAAATGTTTAGGGATGAGTAAATCCCTGAAACTTACTATGAATTGCAGTAGATTTTTGCAAAGAAACTATTGCATTCACATTAGGTGTTTGATGAAGGATGTCTTCAGAGATGGGTTCCAACTGGAAAAAAAATAGAAGAAATCAATAGTAAAGGGTATGAATATACTGACAATTCAGTGGAAACAAAAACACATCAAAAATATTGAATTCCGAAAATATCAATCAGAGAAGATAATTGTGATTTTTCCTTGCTGTTCCATGGAGAGAAAGACAAAGTTTTTGCTTTCTATTTTTCAACCATGTAATTGAATTCCAAGGGGGCTTTCCAATGACTGCAAGACTAATTTTCAGAGACTCTTGAGCAGGTGCATGTCTATGTAATAGTCATTTAAAAATGTTAGTTATTTCGGTAATTTTGGTAAGCTACTCACAAATCAAATTCCATTGTGTCTATATGTGCAGCTGTACACCAAAACAAAACATTACTGAAGCTGTTTTAGAATTGAAAAAATCATACAATATCAACATCCACCCCATAATTCATATGACTGAAATAAAAAACGAAAAATTAACACATTAATTTGATTTGCACTACACAATATCTATGAGTAATACAAAGTATAATATCAATATAAATTTCTATGTACAGTGCAGTTATGGCTTATGATGTTGAAATTTGTTTTGATGTTCCTGTATAACTATTTGGCAAGTGTAGATATATTAGACTATGGAAATTTTTTTACACAGGCTTGTCATGTGAGTACACAACTTTGTGATGTGGTACAATTCTAATGTAAGTAAGTAAGTAAGTAAGTAAGTAAGTAAGTAAATAAGTAAGTAAGTAAGTAAGTAAGTAAGTAAGTAAGTAAATAATACTTATAAAATTAAAGAGAGCTTTGTATTTGCAGTGTTTGCAACTACTTAGATTGGGAAGAAAAAAGTCCTGTAACCATATTTTACGTTATCCCAATTGCCCTGCCCCCAATTCTAGAGATTATTTGGGTGTAAACTAAAATAATTATTTTCCTTATATTAGCTTTAACATAGATTTATTTTTCAAATTCCCGACTGATATAATTCATTCTTGATAAAAACGATAGGTTTATTTCAATAAGTAATTCTTTAAACAAATGAATATATTTATTGAAAAGGAAGACATATTCTTGAAAGCACTTCACCAAAAGGCTAATGAACTTAGTTCCCAAAGCATCAGGGAATGCAAATCCAGCCTGGGAGCCTAATGTTATTGCAGGTCATATGTGCATACTGCAGTTCCGATAATATTAATGGAACCTAAGAAAATATAGTAAATAATAATATAATGTTCATATATTTAATCATTCTCCCTTTGTGTCACCTTAACAGCTTTGGCAAACAGCTAACAATTCATTTCAGAACTTTGGCCTCAGTTCCTCTGTCAGCTTCTGCTCCATGTCAGTGAAACCTCATCAGAATCTAGAGGTAGAATCATTACACTCTCACCTTTGTGATGCCAGATGCACTCTTGTAAAGAACCACTTTTTAAAAAAAAAACCCAAGGATTGTAACAAATTATATCTTCTCCGAGAGGGAGAGAATCTGTATTGCAGAGAATAATTTTTGATGGCAATGATCCATTCTTTAAAATCATTAAACTAAATAGACAAGAGGGTGTCCCTGGAAAATATCATGAGACCTAGCAGTGAACAAAAGGGATCACTCTATAGTTGACAGGCATTGCAACATCACCTTCACTCCTACGCTTCTTGGCATTCTTTTAGCGCTGGAGCCAAAGAGCACAAAAACTGAAAGAGTGGAAATACATCTTTATAAAAGAATTTTACATAAACAACTGACTAAGGTCAGTGCAGGAGCAACAGAACCAGTTGATGGATATGCTTGAAAAGATATACCAAAGGATATTTTTTAAACAGTTGAGGCTAACCCACTTGGTCTCTTATATGTTTTCTTGCATTTGCTTTTAAATTTGTGTATGTACTGTATGAGAAAAGGCATTTTCAAAGAAGTGGAATCTCTAAGCACACTGGGTAAAGGGGGGCCAAGGTAAACTGGGCTTTTATAAAGAAATGTGAGCTCACAATCACACAGTTGCACAGTTTTATAGAAAAATGGGAAATTTGAGAGGGACAAAAATACTTTGGAAAGAATGGGTCCACTTGTCCATGACTCAGCACTTTTCTGCTCCAATGTCTCAAAAAATTCTTATTTCTGCCCTGAGATCTTGCACTTACGTGTACCATGTTTATTGATATTTAGTTCAGTCTCAATTCTACATAGATATAAGGTTCAATTGTATGGATTATATCTATTCCTTTTAAAGGATTTTTTTCCAGTGTCCTTTCACTGCTTTTATTCAGTAACTTGAAGATGCAAAGTGAGAGTCTCACCATGGTCAGCATTCTGCAGCCTCTGGGCAGCAGGTGTTTCCTTCCTGTCAGGGTTCAAAAGACTAAAAGCAATCAAGTTATTCTGGCACCTGAGGGAGAAAATTTCATGTTCTACTTTTCTTTAGCAAGAAAAATACAAAAATAAATTTAATAATTGTCACATGTTCTGCTTTTTCAATTACATGACATCCCAAATCAGCTGTCAGAGGTGGCTTGTCTCATTTTATCTAATGGCAGGATTGGCCCTAAGCATCAGCTTTAGGAAGATAACTTAAAAGTCAACCTAACTGCAGTTTTCTTTAGCAAAAGTTTCTTTCAAGTCAAGTGCTATGTATTTCTTAAACACAAAGAGCTTTTTTCAGTTATAATTTCTTGTACGATAAGTAAGAGACTATCAGAAAAAAATCCTTGCCTTTAAAATACTGATCTCATGCTATTATCTCAAACAATTAGTATCTAAACAATTTATCCTTTTCAGTTCAAGCTTTTCTTCTAATTAGTTGAAACAACAGGTCTCTTTGTTTTGATAGTTGCCTGTATAATGAATGGATTTGCTTTAAAATCACCAATTGAGTGTGTCATGAATATCTTGAAGTAGCTTAATCTCACTTACTCCAAATACCTCAATTAAGGATTCAGGATTTTTACTTCAGATTGCAGAAGGGAGCTAACTTCTTAATCTTTTCACACTTCTCAAAAGAATGTCCCTCTGAGTGGCTCCCGAGGGAAGTTTAGGAAGAGATTTTAAAGAGAAACAACCACTAGTTCCTGCCAAATTTTGTTTCACCCAAGCTCTACTCAGCAGTCATGTAATTGAAATAGCAAAGGAGGCCCAGGTCTGCTTTTACTGTACTCCAGAATCCCTGTTCAAACCAGCTTCGCTCCTGGCATTTCTATATCAGATGTTAATATATGAAGTGAGACCCTTTATACATTTGGCATGGCATCCTTTCAATTGGGAATTTCATCTGCACAGGATTTCACACCATGACAATATTCTAAGCATAATTTATCAAACCAATGAACAATTCCACCTTGGATTTTTTCACTTAACATAAAATGATCAGGAATGGAGTCAGCACCCATGGATTGTTGTCCCTCTCTCACTTCAAACAAACATCTGGAAACCTCAAATTTTGGACATCCATATAGACTCAGTCCATATCCTTTCTAGCTTTAAGTGATGATAAACTGACATAAATACTCTTGGGAAGAAGCAAACTGATTCTCAGTATAAAATACTGTAATCTTAAAAGTTTACATTTAGAAGTTGGTTCTACTGGTTTCATTGGAATGCAAGTAAGTATGATTTAGATCCAAGTTAGGTTTCTGTATAATTTCCAAATTTGGGCTGTAGTCCAAAGCACACATACTTGGAAATCAAATACATTGAAATTAATGGGACTCCCTTCCAAGTTAAATGCACTATAGCTGAGGCATAATATTCAGGGCAACAGAATTGGTTTTTGTGTCTTTTCTACTTATCAAGCAAAAGGAATTCAGGAGTAGATTGTTTTTTCCTTGCTTTCCTGAAATTTTAGAAGAGCTAATCCAAATGAGTGTGCAAGGACTATACTATGTATGGGTAGCATATGTAATCAAGTAACAACACAAGATCACAAATTATGTTAAATGGATGAATAACAACAATACACAACTGATATTGGTCTAGCTACACCATTAGTTGCCTGCCAGAACAGCCAAAGATGAACTGGAAGCTGGTGCGATTTTATAGAATGATGAACTTCACAAGCAAATAGTTCTGAGATCCTATGAGTGGGCTGGAGTAGGGGTTGAGGGAGCACTTTCATATAACAGAGAAAGTTTTAAACCTGTTTATGCCAGAAATTAGTGGCTTTACAAAGTTGGAAAAGGGTTATCTGAGGTGCTAAATATCTTGACAACCAAGAGAAGCTAGTTGCATTGTTTCACCATGATTTAACTTATAACTAAGTGTAGTACAGTTCAAAAATTCATTCAGTTAATTTGTAATTTCTGCAGTGAGAGGCCTCATATTCTGTTAAGGTATTCCTTGACTTAATGACCATAGTTAAGCAAGACAGTTGTTAAGTAAATCATGCTCAGTTTTATGATTTTTTGCTATGGTTGTTAAATGAATCACCTAGTTGTTAAAGTGAATTTGGCTTTCCCCATTGCTTGCCTGAAGTCAGCTGGGAAGGTCCTAAATGATGATCACATGACCTCAGGAGGCTACAACTATTGTAAAAATGTGTCGGTTGTCAAGCATCTAAATTTTGATCACAGGACCATGGAGATGTTGTGACAGTCATAAATGCAAAGACTGTCATAAATCATATTTTTCTCTGTCATTGTATCTTTGGTAAATGGTTGTAAGTTGATAACTACCTGTAATTTTAAGATAAGATAAGATAAGATAAGATAAGATAAGATAACCTTTATTGTTATTTTTATACTGTGGGCACAATGGTACACATCAAAAATGAAATTTAGTTGCCCACTCTTAAAGTGAATTTTTTATCCTTTAGGGGTTTTTTGTTCCTACCCAATTTTTATTCTGCAATATCTATGCTTTTTTACTTCTTGTTATTATTGTCATGTTTGTCATATTTAAATCATTTGTAAACTGTTCAGAGTCAGTGGGAATCAAGTGCCATATAAAAGTAATAAATAATACATAATAAAATTGTATTTGTATAATTATATCCTTTCTTTAAATGTTTAAATTATAAGCCATCTTTCATTATTGCAGAGAATGAATAGCAATAGCTAAGTAGAACACAACATAACTTCTCAACTGATTATTTTCTGTGCAAAAATCAGATATATTTATATGTGTATGTTTTGTTTCTTCTGGGATGTTTTCCTTCCAAAGATTCTAAAGCAAATTCTTGTGAAGCACCTCTTTTTGTAATTAATCTGTGTTATTACATCTTCAAGTCTGATTTGCTCATTGCAAATGTTGGAAGTAACTGTTTTGCCTACAGAGGTTTATTTCATCTATATGTCTGTCTGTGTGCCTATATATGTATGTGTGTCTATGCATCTACTGAAAAGTTGTGTAGATGGAATAGCATACTGTTGCATGGACAGAGAAGCCAAGAACAACAATAGCAATATAAAAGTATTTCAAAGCCTGTTTCATTCATGTTTATGAATTCTAATCCTCAGCACATGAATAAATACATTTGACAAACTGCAGAGTGCCTTTCTGACCTTTCTAATTTGAGTTCAGTTGGATATGCCATCATGAGAAGTCAGTGCTGGCTTTGCCAGGTTTTTCTTTTTGAATGAAAATGAGTGCAATGTTTATGCAATTTGGAAAATGGAGTTTCCACCAAAAAAGAGCTTCTAATTGTGAGATTAATAGCCTACAACGAATTGTATCTCCAAATTATGAAAATCAGGATTCAAGTCCTATCCTTTATTATTGATCCTAAAGGCTGAAATCAGCTTTTTAGCTGACTATGTGTTAATAGCTAAGTTTCTAATTCATTACTCACTAATGAATAAAATTCTCAACTGCAATGATTTGGCATATCTTCATTTAAATAAAGGAAATTAATCACAAGAAGATCAGATGTCTGAAAAAATGTCTTAGGGATGGATAACCCAGTGCTTAATCTTTGTCTATTGGGCTGGATTCATGTAGGCAGCAATGACTTCTGTTAAAAAAAAAAAGGCATCATTTTTCAAAAAAAATACTTAGACTTTCCATTCTATGAATAGCTGATGAAACAGGTTTTCCATTATCACTATATTAAATTTCCCCACAAACGTTTTTTATAAGTACTTACAAAGACAAAGTAATTCTACTGACCTTTACCCCTATTTCTATAATAGATTATAAATCCAGCGTAGTATGACAAATATCCAGGAATTTTGCATTATTTTATTAACTTTGAATATGTTGGTTACCTCGTTTCCCAGTAAAACATTTAAACAAGCTTCTGATGCATCACAGATGGCAGTAAGATCATGTCCTCCCTCCAGGGCTAGCACCATGCGACCACCTGCCAGTGTCAACAACTGTTTGATGAGGTGACCAAAACCTGCCATGTCAATAAAATATGCAAATCAATATATTAGAAGTATCTATATGAAATAATCACTGCATATTATGATTTATTGGATGTATGAAGAATGGACCAATGATAGTACCATCATTTTTAAACAATAATTTGGACTCAGAACCACCAACTCATGACATCTACAAATACTTGAAAATAATTTAGAAAAACAGAAGCCTTTTTCTATAGAAGAAAACTTCATGAAATTGGGGACATATATTGATAGAGGTGACCCTTATTAACTAGTTTTATTAGCAATCAAATTCATGGTTTATAAGTGCAAACAAGTTCTTGTTATCTGCAATAAACTCCTTCATATGTTTGTGGTTTGAAGCACGTGATTCTGTTTGGAGAGGACTTTTGGATATTTGGATGGAATTTTATGCATGTACAAAATGGTAAGTGTGCATTTGTACATCCATAAAGTAATTATTTCAAGGTCTTGTTACTCACTGTTTTGTTATATGTGGTGGTTAAGTTGGAATGGAACCCCGCCCTCCCAAAATAAAGAGAACTACCTAAAAATTCATGTATTCAAAAACTTTATAGTACAATTTTGGGCATATCTACAAAAGGATTGATTGAATCCAAAGGAAATACATAGCACTGAAAGCAAAACTTTTTATGCTTTTGTCCCACAAGAATTTGCTGTACTATAATGGGGACAACTGCACCCTTGCTATTAGCCCACAGCATAGAAGCCTGTGATATTCTTCAGAGGTATACTCTATCCATTATCTGACATAATTGTTCTAATGACATTAATAAAAAAAAAGACATAAGGAAAATATATTTGTGGTAGATTAATAAAAATATATATTAAAAAAACAGAATATGTAGTCAGCAACACCCAACAGAAATCTCTGTGAAAAAAGAGAATTTCTCAGCAGCAAGCAAGTCACAGATTTTTTCTTTTTCCTTTCTTTTGCTTTTTTTTTTTTTTTGCAGAAGCACTCTCCTTGAGGCTCACAGGAAATATCAGCATGGAATATTGACTGTTAATTTAGAAGATGATGCCATATGTTAATTTTACAAGGAGAGCTGCCAGCATTCATTTCTACTGAAAATCATAGCATCTGAAGAGGAAGCCGTCTAAGAAATCTCAAGCATAATCAGTGATGAAGAAAATAAGCTTTGGCCACACTCAGAGGAACTATTTTTCACATAGACCTGGCAACTGGTCTAGGCAGGAACTGGAGTAAGTCTGGAAAACTCAATTTCAGAAAAAATCAGGGACAATGCTCATACCTCTTAGCAGTCAATAGGGAAAAATACTTGCATACCTGCAGATACCGTGTTACTAATACTTATAGCCAACAAAATATTATTACACTTTTTTCAATTATACACAGTTATCCAGGTGACTTTGTTGTGGGGAAGGCCCATGTTTTAATTAACAGCACCATGGCAACTGAATTATGGAAAACCTTAGGACAAATTTGGATCTTGTATATTCCAAGAGCTTTCAAGAGAAATTAATTTCCTAAAAGAAATACCCTGCAGTGATCAAACATCAGAACAGGGAAAATTCTAGAAATAAGTAAGGAAAAAACAAAAGTCAAAGCAAAACCAACTATTGAGGCACCAGCTTTAGAGAAGAGCCCCTGTTCTCTTCTATCACAGAATAATAAACTTTCCAAAACCTATTCCTGTTGAGTTTAGAAAAGGTATGGAAATCAGAAAGAACATTCTTTTAGTTTTCACCTTCTGAATCACATAAAATATCAAGAATCCAGCTACAGATCCTGACCCAGGCCTTCCAAAAGTTACTATGGACTATTATGCCAGTTGTGACCATGGCTTATCAAGCCATTTCCATTTGGGCAGAATGTGTTATAAAGAAGGCATTTTTTCCTGTGGTTTGAAAGATTTATACTGTACTTATGTGGCATTTTCTGTGAACTGCAATCATTCAGGGGACATTTTGGAATGGAAATGGAAATCAGCCTTAAATAGACAATTTTTTTAGAACCAAAAATTTGGTGGGCACCAACATTTGTCAACTCAGTTCCAACTGTTTCTTCACAAAATGGAGTTCCATTTACTTGATGGATCTATTCTAAAATATTTGGACTGAAGCAGGTTAACTATATGTCGGAGTCCTTACCAACCCCTGGGTCCAGAACAGAAAACAAGTCATAGATGTAAAGTCTTCCTATAAAATACACCAGGGATAACTCAGTTTTGAATCTGATGAGAACTCTGGAGGAAGTAAAGTATCTAGATCCACTTCAGTTGTATTTCAGGCCTGGATTCAGTGTGGAGACAGCCTTGGTTATACTTATTGATGACCTGTGGCAGAGCTAGGAGTGCCATAGAGTTTGATGCTTTCTCCCCTCCTGTTCAACATTTGTGTGAAACTACTTGGTGAGGTCACTTGCTGGTTTAGAGTTCAGTATGCTGACGAAAGCTAATTATATATAAGATATATCCCTGCTGCTCAGCATTATCCCTGCTTAAGTTGCTTTATTTCATTACACAGTTAACAGTGGACTCTTAGGGCTGAAGTTGATGGTTCTTGGGAACTTTAACCTGTCGCCTGCTGATGTTATATCAGGCATTCATGGATTCTGGATGGATGTATCTGTCCCAAATAATAGAGGTCCAATTTATTCTGGAAGTCATAGACTAGATTTGATTCTTGCCTTGGGGCAGTTGCAGTGTGATCTGTTTTTTGAGAACATTACCATCAGTCTATTGCTATAGACAGCTCCCTCTTTGATTGCTGTCTAATTCTTTGAGGCAGCCATTTCTGCAGTCTGTCCTTGTCCAGAGTTCTCCAACCTTTCCAGCTTTGTGGACCAGCGGGGAGAGGGGATGGTTTCATGTGAGTAGTGGGCAAGGGAATGTGCATGTGCACCTCCATTTGTACAAGTGGTGGACATGTGCATCCGCTGCTCATGCACATGGAGCATATGCACACATGCTTGCCCGCTGCTTATGCAAGTGGGGATGCGCATACATGTGCACTCGCCAACCACTTCCATGGCTCGGTTCCAAACCACTCAAGGCCCAGTAGTGGGCTGTGGTAGGGAACTCTTGTCCTAGGCAAGAGTTGCTGGATGTTGCTGGATTCCAGAGGGAGCTTCAGGTTTTTTCCGAGGACTAGTTAGGCACTTTGGCTGCAGCCTGGAATAAGCATGTGATGGAGACCCTGAGTAGATTGCTCTTCTGCAATATCTCTCTGTGCATCAATCCCATATGCTCTCTGGTTTTCTAATGAGTTCTGAAAAATAAAACACCAGAAACGATACCCAAAGCACAATTGGAGAAAGGCAAAGAGCAAATACATTGAATATATTTGGGCACAAATGGTGGTAAGGGTGATGAAACATTGGTATTTATCCACTCTTATTGCATCTGCTGATAATCTTCCAGTGGCCTTGTTTAGAATGACCCATTCTCTGTTGGGGTGGCTTGAACATCATCTTCAGCTATAATGAGGAATATTCATGTTACGTAGCAGATAAAGTTGCTCAGATTTGCTTGGAGTTGGAGCATGATTGGGTAAGTTCTAATGAGTTGCCCAGGGAATAGTCTTGTGATGTTATCTGGGATTGAACTTGATTCAATAATGCCAGAGGAAGTGGACAAGATCCTTTTGTCTATAAGTCCAGCTACCCACTTTTACTACCTCAGGCCCATTGAGATCTATTTGTTTTCATCAAAAGGGTAAATTGAATTACTCAGAAACAAACTGATATACAAAGCAAATTGACAGTATATTACTTCTCAAACGTTCTATTGTTTCTGTCTTTTAGACAGTATATAACCATTATTTACCATTTAATCATCCCACTGCTCTCTAATTTGCTTAAGAACATATTTTCCTCTCATTAAAGCCTTTGTAGTGGCTGTTGCCAAAAGTTTTCCCACCCACCAGTGTTCTGCACTTTATCCTTGTGGTTCTTTTATGACCTCTTGATTAATTTTCATTGATATGCTTCCAACAATAGCATCTAAAATTAACTGGGTCATTTTTAAAAAATACAACTTCCTGAGTCATCAAGCTTGGTGTCCTAAATAAATACATCCATACAGGAATGAAATGATAGTTCACTCTTCTAGAATCAGGCTGTGAGCATTGAAAATAATGGTGCTATTTCGCCTCCTTTATTTATTACCAATTTATTTATTACATTGTACATTGCTTCTCTTCTTTGTAGAATTTGAAGTGACATCCACCGAATACCTGATGGAGGTCCCAGGTCCCAGCCAGTTTGGTGCATACCTTTCAGGTGCACAATATCACACTGATCTCATTTGTGCAAAGTGCAAAGTACCCCCAAGAAAGCAGCTAGTCCTGGTTCTCCTTTCACTGACTATGAACTCTTTCCATTCCACTCCGCTTCTTCCACTAGCCTTCTTTCCACTCCATAGTCCACTTTTTATACTCGGTAGTCCCCTGATACCATGATATACTCCCAGGTGGGCTAGAGGAACAAGCATTGCCAAGTCCAAGGTAAATCAAAGCAAGGTTTACCCAAGCTAAACCAGACCTCAGGTACCTCACTTGGACAGCCAGCTATCTCTGGAGGAGTCTTTTATTTCAGGCTATCAACTCAACAACCACTTTCCATGAACTGGAATGACATGCCTTGATAACTGCTGCCAGGATTAAAGGTAACTCACCAGGCACAGTCATAACACCTTGAGACATGGGAATTCAGGTTGTCTCCAATTGGGAATGGGATTGGGAAAAGATTAATGTTCTTGAAGGACCCAAAGAGCAATTACCATCCACTCCATCTTCCCTTACCTAATACTTAATTTTTTGCAACTCAAATTTCCAAAATTTGAGATATAGATAATCAAGGAACTGCAGCAAATAGTCCATGGAACAAAGAATGAGAATATTTGTAATACTTGTGATTATTTAATCATCCCACTCAGATAGTCTAACTTCCAAGTACTCACCATAGCACTGCAAGATGATAGCCTGCTAAGAAATCATGTATATACATTCATATACATTCATTTGT